CAATATGACTGGTGTCCTTACAAGGAGAGGAGATTAGGACACAGACACACACACACAGGGAAGACCACGTGAGGACACAGGGAGAAGATAACCATCTACAAGCCAAGGTGAGCGGTCTCAGAAGAAACCAACCCTGCCCATGCCTTGACCTCAGGCTTCCAGGCTCCAGTACTGTGAGATGACAGCTTCCTGTTGTTTAAGCCACCTAGTCTGTGGTACTTTGTTATGACAGCCCTAGTAACTTAAGACAGGCACAAAGCCTGAGCCCGTGGGTTCGAGACCTGCCTGGGCAACTTGGTGAGACCTCATCTTTACAATAAATAAAAAATTAGCCAGGCGTGGTAGCACACACCTGTAGTTCCAGCTACTTGGAAGACTGAGGCAGAAGGATCGCCGGAGCCCAGCAGGTCGAGGCTGCAGTGGCCGGGAGCTCCAGTCTGGGCGACAGAGTAAGACTCCAACTCAAAAAAAAAAAAAAAGACAGGCACAAAAGGTGTCCTGCCTCCCCACAGAGTTTGGTCTTCTGTGTCAATTAATATATATTCATATAGTGTGATATGTAAGTGCAAAAACCTGCTGTGTACAAAGGGGAAGGAGGGGAAGGAATTGGGTAGGGAAGAAAGTTCACTCTGTCAGGGGAGCAGGTGACCTGACAAGGCTTTGGGATTGCCATGGAAAGGCAGAGTATGAAGGGGCTTTTCCAGGAAAACCCTAAAAGGGGAGACTACTAGGTGAACAGAGAGGGGTGACAAGGGATTTGGGGGAGCCAGTGGCAAAGTGGGTACAGGGAGACGGACCTCCACCCATCCTCCTGCACCACGCTCTGGAACAAGGACTTTATCCCACAGGCACTTGAGTTGCCAACTGGGTTTTGGAAAGCAGAGGATTTAATGTAACTATGTAGAGAATGATCCAGAAGAGAAAAGACTAGAAACGGGTAGGCCATTAAAAAGCTGTTGCCAACACCTGTTAGAAACTGAAGCCATCTGGGCTCCAGAATTTATCTAAATTTAGAGGCAAAAAGGCAGGGCATGAGCATGAGTGCTGGTGACACTTGGTGGCCAGAAAAGAGAAGATCTGCAATTACAAGAAAGTACTAGAGACTGTCACAGCAAAGAGTTGCCGAGGAGACCTGATGACTAAATGCCACATGGGATCCTGGAACACAACAAGGACATTAGGTAAAAACTGAGGAAATCTGAATAAAGTACAGACTTGAGTTTCATAAGAATGTGTCAGTGTTGATTCCTGAAATGTGGCAGATGTGCCATACTAACGTAAGCTGTCAATGACTGGGGAATCTGGTATGAGGGCCTATCTGTACTATCTTTGAAACTTTTCTGCAATCTAAAACTATTCTAAATTAAGAATGTATTTCCAAAAAAGAGTATTAGGCTTGGTAAGAATGAGATGATGTCCTTAAGCTGAGAAACATAACTCTAGCATACATTTTCCTTGGCGAGAATAGAAGCCTTTTTGTTCTATGCAGGGGAAAAAAAAAACGTGCAGTGCGGTTCCCCTGGAGATCCGGGAAGGGCCTAGCCGGCTCCCCCAAAGACTTGCCTAGAAGAGCATGCTCCCTCCGGTGCCTCTTTACTGAATGAGTCACTCTGTGAATCATCCCTAACGATAGGCTGCTCCCTGAGTTCACCCCACCTTGAGGGCATATCAAGGTGGCAGTAATAACACACTTCACATCCAACCTAATCCTTCTTTGTGACATGTGGGTGAAGAGGCGCAGTTCCTGTCAGAAAAAAAAACTGCTTCATGTTAGAATATATAAACGTGACTCTTGAAAACACGGGAATAATCCGATTTTACCCTGAATTCGGGTTATGATTGACATCTGGAGTGGGTCATTTCACCACAGGTGACATGTAGCTTCCGGGGTCTCTGAGCACTGTGACAACCAAAAGCCACCCCACACATTTCTAATCATGCCCAACTCCCACCCCCACCCACCCCAAGGATTGGTAAATTGGCCTGTTCAGGCCTGCGAGATTAAACTGGAAAGAAAACAATTTTTTAAAATATTAAGAGTAGGAAAACAGATACTGTAAAAAGAAGTTAACTGCACATGTGATAAAACTGTAGAGAATTAATACAAACACGAGTATAAATAAAACTGGGACGATCTGTATCAGATGTCAATTCCCTGGTTGTAGTATTGTACTATAGCTTTACAAGATGTTACCATTGGAGGGAAGGCTAGGTGAGGTCTTTCTGTATTATTCCTTACAACTGCATGTGAATGTGCAATTATCTAAAAAAAAAATTGCAACAGGAAAAAAAGAAAGGGCAGCCATGCTGAATCATAAATGCGAACCCCTCCCCCTCCCCATCCCATCTCCCACCCATGGGCCCCCCAAGCTTTCCAACTCCTATTTGGCACCATACAGTGAGCAAAAGTCTAGTTATAGACTCAGGGCAACCAGCGTTTAAGTTTTGACTTTCACTAGCTGTGTGATCTTGAGTAAAGTACATGGCCTCTCTGAACTACAGTTTCCTCATCTAACAGATGAGAATGCAGTTCAGTTGGAATAGTTGGATACTGCATGTGAAGGGCTTGTCACAAGGCAGGAGCTCCATAAATGGCAGGGATCCCTACTTCTCCAGCCCTTTGGTTGCCAGGTGCAGAACTCTGTCCCAAGGTCTCAGCCACCACTTTCTCCAAGCAGCACTTTGGACTCTTTTGTATCGTTTCTACCACTGCACCTGCCCCCAAAACCCTAAGCTACACATTCACAGGCACACAGACTTCCTGCCTCCTGACACCAGGGTCTGAACACCAATAGAGACAACACTACAAATGTGCGGGCTGAACTGAGCCAACTTTCTGCAGAGCTTGACACACCTGGCTGCCAGCTTCCTGCCCCCACTCCCTCCCCAGAGTGGTAGGCTGCAGGCCATAAGCAAGCCAGCACCTGGAGGTCTATATCAGATGTTAAAATAACCTGGAGGGCAAGGGTTGTTCCCTCCAGTCTCTAGGGATTGGTCTTCCAGCCCTTCCCTCTGGCCCTCCCACCCCCACAGTTCCAAAAGTCAAGCCTATAAACATCCACCCTGACTTAGGATGTCCTGGGGTCAAGCAATGCAGGAACCAACAGGCTGGTCCTCTCAGCAGGCACTGCAGGGCAGAATCCTAAGCCCTGGGCTTGCCCAAAAGCTCCAGCAGGAACTAACTACAGCAGTTTGTGCGCTGTGGCAGAAAGCAAGGGAAGGGCGAAGTGTTATGGGGAACAGCATTGGGAATCCCCAGAGGAGTATGTCACCCTGACTGTCCCCTGGCTTGGGTGCCTTGAGAGAGGGGTGTGGGCTGAAATGGTTACATACACTGTTCACTCTATTCTTAGTAGTAGTATGTTTCAGACGGGGACTTGCTCTGTCACCCAGACTGAAGTGCAGTCGTGCAATCTCATAGTTCACTCTAACCTTGAACTCCTGGGCCACAGCAATCTTCCTGCCGCAGTTTCCCAAGTAGCTGGGACTACAGGAGTGCACCACCACACCCACTCATTTTTTCTATTTTTTGATGGGGTCTCACTATGTTGCCCAGGCTGGTCTCAAACTCCTGGGTTCAAGTGATCCTTCCCCAAAGTGCTGAGGTTACAGGTGTGAGCCACTGCACCTGACCTTTAGTAGTATTGTTATTAGGAATCCTCATCCCTGCCAATATCAGCATGCCTCAAAGTCATCACACAGGTCCACACCTCACTTTGTCTATATGAGATCCTGTTCAAGTTTCCCAAGTGGAGCCTCCTCATCTAAATCCCCATATCCAGGCCCTGGGCCAGCCTGGAATCCTGCTGATCAACCACAGATATTGAGAACCTACATGTGCATGGTGCATGGAATCCATGCCCTGTCCAGTCCTCTGCCTCTGTGTTCAGTCCCAGAAACCTAATCACAGGGTACACTCCGCATTCACCCCCCTGCCTTCTGTGAGTGGGGTGAACTGTGAAGAAATCTCCATCCCCCTTTTACCCTGCTATGGTAAAGCATGGGCCAGAGCCTGCACGTTCCCAAGCCCCTCTGTGGCCGCCATGAGCGCTGTTCAGTCTCTGTCATCCACAGCAGACACCATGTCAGGATGGGATCCCATGAAGGAAAGGGACCTGGTATCACCTCCATCATCCCCTCTCCCCCTGCAGCTCACCTCTTCCCTGACTAAGCATTCTCTGCCTCTACCTGCTGTGCCTGTCTCTGTGAAGCACACGCTAAGAAGCCCATTTGGCTCACAAGGAACCCCTTTTCCCAGGACAACCCATCTCCAGGACTGGGCTCTGCCATCGCTGGCCACAGGGTGTTGATTCACCTGTTCCAAGCTGAGCCAGTTGGGTGTTCCCCAGGAACTGCCAACTGGGAGCTAGAGGTGCAGAGACTGGGAGCGCTTGGTGCTGAGTCACAGGAACGGCCTCCCCAAGGGAGGGCCCATGAGCTCCTGAGCTGAGACCCCTGGAGCATCTCTGATTTCTGCTCACCCCAAGTATGGCAGCTCAGGTTCTCTCTTCAGTTCAGTTCTCCAACCACTCCAGGGTCCTTCCACTACATTGCAGTTCCCCCCTGAAATTCCCCCCAATCTGATTTTGTTTCTGGCATTTAATAGAAACTTAACCAACAACCCAGAGCTAAAGCAGGCACTTGGACTCAAATGTTGAATCAATATTAAAGAGTATTTTTGCCCACAAGTATTCTGTTGCCCTGTTTCTCTCAGGGGGTTCCTTATGAGTTCTGAAGCTAGAACTGGTCAGGTAATTAGAAACAGCTCGGTTGGGATCCCTGGACAAGCCCCAGGACACACCAAGCCCCACCTGGTGAGCACATTGATTTCTGGACACCTTCTCCCTTGAAGGGCCAGCACTGAGCCCTTCTATGGAAAGCTGTCTTCCTTTGCAGCTGCCCCCATTCCCACCCCCTACTGATTCCAGGGACCCTAATGGCAGCAACTTCTGTGTCACTGCATCTGCTCAGTTTCCCCAACAAGTCAGTCTGACTCATGACCAGGGAAGAATAGACAAGCTTTATTTCTGGAAAGAAGACTCAGACTTCTGATTTAGCATAATTCTAAAGGGCTACACTGTGAGACTGCTCGCCACATTGGTCACTACAGGTCATTTCCCAGCATCCTGATCCAACGTCTTTACTCATCGTCCTTGTCTTTCTTCCCTTCCTCGGTGTCTCCTGTATCTTTCAGATTCTGGCGAGCAAACTCCTCAAAAACCAAATTTGCATCCTGATAACTAAAATAAAACAGACAGCATGTTGGTCATTCCATGCTCTTTGAAGCTGAAGTGGAAACAAGATACTTGATCTTTTTGTAGCAAAGAAACTGATCAAGGTTTTCCCCATGATGGACCATGGAGCACATCATTTTCCTCATGGCTTTTGCTTAAAATCTCTAACAAACACAAGCAAGAGAATACGAAGGAGCACATAGGGCAAGCAGACACACCATCACAGCTATATGAGGGCCTTGGGTACTCAGGAGTAAAGGGGAGCAAGGGATGTGCTTCCTGGGTCACCCAGAGTGTGAGATGTGAGCAAAGACTCAAAGAGGGGCTTGCGCTGGAGGGGAGGTCACAGGGCACAAGGGAACTCAAGGCAGGGTTCAAATGGCTCACCTTTCCTTAGCTGGAAGCATGGAACAAAGGCGGGGGTGGGGAAGGGGGGGGAGTGGGGAGAGAGAAAGAGGAGAGAGATGAGAGAGGGAGAGATCTGTTAGTATAAACTCTGTATCATAGCTGTACCTAGAAAAGTTCTATCTTGTAGTTTACTTTATAATTTGAGATAATAAGGCCTAGATAAACGTAATTTATGACAGTTGCATGTAATCTCTGCCTTTTCCACTCAGAGAGACTTTCTCCCTGCATTTTTTTCATCACTTCTGAGAAGCTGTGAATTTCTATATTTTTAGCCATCTCTTCCTTTATAATGTGCCATAACCACCACAATCTCACCTCTAGGACCCTTTTCCTGATCAGTCTTACCCCCTTGGATGTCTCTTCTCTTTTCAAAGTATTTTTCTCTCAGTGTTTTCTGGACCCCACCTGGGTCAGAGTCACCAGAGCACCCTTAGGACATATAATCCCAGCACTTCCACCCATCAGGTTCCCGAGGGTGAGACCCAGGACTCCACATTCACCAGCACCCCAGGGGTGGTGTGTACACTAGAGCTTGAGGACCATCACCGCCCCCAAGCCCTTCTGTTTTCAATGTCTGTTAGCATGTTGACTTTTTGTTTTGGGGTTATGTTTTCATGGGTTTTGCATGTCCAGAATCACCGCCATTAATTTGAGTGGTTTTTATTCTTTTTTTTTTTTTTTTTTTTGAGTTGGAGTCTCACTCTGTCGCCCAGACTGGAGTGCAGTGGCCGCTCCCAGCCACCGCAGCCTTGACCTGCTGGGCTCCGGTGATCCTTCGGCCTCCGCCTTCCAAGTAGCCGGAATTACAGGCATGCGCTACCACACCCATCTGATTTTTTGATTTTTTGTAGAGATGAGGTCTTGCTGCCCAGGCGGGTCTCGAACCCGCGAGCTCAGGCAATCCACTCACCTCAGCCTCCCAAAGGCGCGGGATTATAAGCTGAGCCACTGAACCCAGCTGGTTTTTATTCTTTTTTAGCTTTCTGCCCACCTAGTAAAGTACTGTTCTAGGTAAAGAACTAAACCAGTAGTTTGGGGGAGTACAGTGGTGGTTTGATGGTGAGCTCCTGATTTTGTCTCTCATGCCCACCTGGAAACCAGCCCCGGGAGGGCATATCTGTGAGAGTAGCTAGGCACAGGAGACCTAGAGGAATTGGCTCATCAAACATCCCATAAGCAAGAAATACCCTGCACTACAGTGCTAAGTGATACAATTTTACTAACTGGGACCATCAACTTTGAAGATGTAAGATTAAATCAACAACCCATATTTCGTATAGATGATCTTGACAGGGAACAATAAAAACTTCTTGACAGGGAACAATAAAAACTTGGTAGTATTTCTTTTTTTTTTTTTTTTGAGTTGGAGTCTCACTCTGTCACCCAGACTGGAGTGCAGTTGCTGCTCCCGGCCACCACAGCCTCAACCTGCTGGGCTCTGGCGATCCTTCCGCCTCAGCCTTCCAAGTAGCTGGAACTACAGGCACGCACTAACACGCCCGGCTAATTTTTTGATTTATTAGAGATGAGGTCTCGACAAGTTGCCCAGGCGGGTCTTGAACCTGCGGGCTCAGGCAATCCACTCACCTCAGCCTCCCAAAGGCGGGATTATTTCCACATAAATTTGTAATTTATCACGTACAAATTACTTGACCCCAGGCTCTGGCAGGGCTTAACTACAACTCATGCTTTCTCTGCTTAGAACCTTACTGGCTTCAGAGAGCCAGGAACCAGGCAGGGAAGATAAAGAGAGATGAGATTTGATGATTCATAAATCTCTAGAAATCAGAATTTTGTAGCCATGGTGTGATTTGTCCTAATCCTTGCTCTCTGAAATCTCACAGTATGAAAGATCATTGTTTTGTCCTGACATTGTGACACATTCAGTATTACCATCATAATGATTGGGTCATGAAAATGTCGTACTTGGAGGAAGAAGAATTCCACTTCTCCCAGACTAACTCATAAAGTCTTCTCAAAGTTCCAGAAAACAACCCACCATAAACTATGACATCTCCTCAGGTAATGTCCTATTTTTTTTAATATCCTTGAAAGGGATCAGAAATATATTTAAAATAATGTTTTATTTTACAAGCATAAATGAACTGAAAATGTATGCTAAACTGTATTTCTCTCTAAGGGAAAATTTGGCAAAGTGCACTGAGGGTTTGTATCCAAAATATTTGGAAAAGATGCCGTGAGATAGAATATAGTTCACAAAAACTAAAACGAATCAAGGGCTCATTCTGATGTTTAAATAACATTTCATTATCAATATAGAAAAGTTATTTATAAAGAAAAATAAACCCTGCTTGTTTGTAGCACTTTTACTTAAAATATTCCTTATTGCTATAGCTATGGAGAATTCTCATCCAGTCAGATCCATCTTTCTTGTCTGTCCATGAAGCTACCTTAACACACAGTGAAGAATGTTTCCTTAGAATTTCTGAGATTGCACCTATATTTCATTTACCTTTTTAGAAAGATATTTATTGAGTCGGAATTCACATGGCATACAATTCACTTCTTTGCAGTACACAGTCCAGTGTTTTTTCGTATGTTCACTACTGCTTCATTTCTTTTTTTTTTGAGTTGGAGTCTCACTCTCTCACCCAGACTGGAGTGCAGTGGCATGCTCACGGCCAACCCAGCATAGACCTGCTAGGCTCAGGCAATCCTTCTGCCTCAACCTTCCAAGTAGCCAGAAATACAGACATGTGCTACCACCAGGCTAATTTTTTGATTTATTGTAGAGATGAGGTCTCGCCAAGCTGCCCAGACTGGTCTTGAACCCGTGGGCTCAGGCAATCCTCTCACCTCGGGCTCCCAAAGTGCTATGATTATAGGCATGAGCCACTGTGCCAAGCCTCACTGCTTCATTTCACATTCACACTAGGGCCAATGGGTTTACAATGCAAATGAACAGAGGTGTCAGGAATTCAACCTCACCCTCTTTTTTAGTATTTTCTGTATTCTCATCGCAACTGCCACTGTCAAAAATATTTCTCATCTTCTAAATGTCTGTTAATGCTTCCAAGTGAAACACAAGGCCTTTCATTTCCAAATGAAATGCAAAAGCCTCGTGCTCTCAAGTCATCTTTAAATCTAATTCTAGGTTTGTTGATAGCAGACTTCTGCTTTCAAGTCATTCCTGATAAAACCTCAGGAGATCGTCCTATTCAAGAGCAAGGATGCTGCATTCTCCAGACCCTAACCAAAGAAGAAGAGCTAGCCAGTTCAGTAATGAACAGATGAGCTCTCCCTCTGGGGCTCGACTTGTGGATGACATAGAATCTCCTACATCTGGCCACTTCCATGCTCAGAAGTGTGGTCAAGAAAGTGTAGGAATGAATCAATAATAAGTCTGCAAGGAGTAAATAGCTAGAAAAAGCCAAGCAAAGGAGTAACTGACCTGGATCCTCAGGCTGGGGGTGCATGAGGCGGAATGGGACCTCAGTAGCCACTTCACTAGAAAAAAAAAGAAGAATAAAGATCAGTGAGAACACACACACACACACTTACACTTATAAATCACACAGAGAAGAGCTGTGACTGCAGAGATTCTCACAAGAACCCTAGGCCCAAGCTAAAAGAAAATTCAGTGGGATTCAAAACAAAACAAAATGACACAGAAATCAGAAATCAGGAAGTGGTCAAGGAGGAGTTTTAAATGTATTCCCTGGAATGTGGTCCAGAAACATTACTATGTGCAGTTGAGGCAGTTAGCATTTTAGGTTCCCCTTACTCCTAGTTATTAGTTGCAGTGACATGATATTGTGGGTGGAGAAGAGGTGAAATCCTGGAGAAAGGATAGTTTTAAAAACAGTCTTTGCAGCCGGGCTAGGTGGCTCAGCCTGTAATCCCGCGCTTGGGAGCCTGAGGTGAGTGGATTGCCTGAGCCCATGGGTTCGAGACCCGCCTGGGTAACTTGGCGAGACCTCATCTCTACAATAAATAAAAAAAAATTAGCTGGACGTGATAGCGCGTGCCTGTAGTTCCAGCTACTTGGAAGGCGGAGGTGGAAGGATTGCCGGAGCCCAGCAGGTCGAGGCTGCGGTGGCTGGGAGCATGCCACTGCACTCCAGTCGACAGAGTGAGACTTCAACTCAAAAAAAACCCAAAAAAACCGGTCTTTGCAGCAACATACACCATTTTTTAATATGTTAAAATCTCTGTGAGGCTGGTGCTTTGCCAGCGGACACAATCTCTTGCTACAGAGCAGAACAGAAACCACCAGGGGCCACCAAATTCCAAAAGCTGAAGGGCTTTGGAGTGACTTAGAAGTTATACAAAATGAGAGAAAGAGAGGAGTCAGGAAGGAAAGTTGAAGGAAAATCCAGAGAAAGGACAAATGGAAAGGTGAGGAATAGGGGGTGCAAAAAGCCAAGGTTACTCCTCACTTCACTCAGGACCCAGGGCCTTCTTCCCAGGGCTCACCTCTGGCTCAGGAACCTCTGTTTATAATGAAGCCACTCTCATCAGACCCAGGTGCACATGGGGTCTAAGAGAAAATGTGGAATGTGGGCTCCAGGTGAGGGGAAGAGATGAGAAGAGTTGGAGTGAAGAGGTATGTAATGTCAGTGCCTGTCTCAAACACTCCTTCACTCACTGCTTCCTTGTGCATGATTCACTATTCACAATAACCGAAAGATGGAAACAACCCAAACGTTCACCAACAGATGACTGGATAGATAAAATGTAGTATGTCCATGCAGTGGAATATTACCCAGCCATAAAAACGAATGAAGTGCTAGTACATGTTGCAACATGGGTAAACCTTATGCTAATAACATTATGCTAAGTGAAAAGAACCACTCACAAAAGGCCACATGTTGTATGATTCCATTCATATGCAATAACCAGAATAGGCAAATCTATAATGATAGAGCAGATGGGTGGCTGCCAGGACTGCATGGAGGGAAAACGGGAACGGCTACTTAATGGATACAAGGTTTCCTTTTGGGGTGATAAAAAATGTTCTGGAATTAGATAATGGTGATTGCTGTATAACATTGTAAATGTACTTAACGCACTAAACTGTGCATTTTAAAATGGCAAAATTTATACTCTATGTATTTTACCTCACACACAAAAGACGACCGCATGGAGTACGCCAGTTTTCTGGGTGTGCATGTGTGTGTCTTTGCCCAGGTATCAGCCTTGCTGTGGTCTCAAAGAAACACTCCAGCCTCATGCCTAATAGCCAAGGTTTCATGATGCATCCAAAGCCAGTGGCATTATGTCAAAACACCTCTGAGCATAACTGCCCAGTAACCAGTGTTCACCAGTTACTGCTTGGAACCCTAGGTCTGTTGTCTTTGAGATTCAGAATCAAGCAGAGAAGGAAGGTGAAGAGGCTTACCTGGAGGTGAGCTCTCCCAGAAAGCTAGGAAACACAAAAACAAACAGCTGTGGTGACTGTCTACAATGGTAACGTGACCTCATTTCCTGTTATTTGAGGCAAGACACAGCCCAGTTCTCATATCCCTTGCTCTCTAGCTCACAACTCCCAAGATTTTTGTGTCCCTCAATATTCAACTTAATTCTTCCTCTCTGCCTATGACTCCATCTCTTTCTTAGAAAGATTGGTTAAAAGAGGAGTCATTTAGGTTCAAGTCCTAACGTGCAAGAATAAGCCTCAGAAGTCATCGTGAAATACCTGCTATTCACTTTTCTTAGCTGCTAAAAGAAACTCCACCCTGATTTTTAGAACCTCTCAGAGAAAAGGAAGGAAACTACTACCATTTTGAAAAACACAGCAAATGCAAACACTGTGCTAACAAAACATGCAAAACAGACCTGTGTTCTATTTTGTTGCTTGACCCAAAATCTGGGGAATTCTTTACCTACTTACAAACAAGGGCCGTATGAATGGACTCACATTTGATGGTCAAACTATCCAAGGCTCACCCAGGTAGAAGGCCAGAGCCCTTGGCAATGGAATTTGAAGGAAAACGAACATTTGAGTTTTTTCTTTTTGATGAAATTAAATAAATGAAAGAAAATGGCTTCACAAGAAAATGGTAACCTGTTTCCTTAGAATGCTGAGATATCTGCACTCTTGTATGAAAAGGAGACTTCTGAATCCTGGGATTGTTTGTGGGGGGAGGGAAGGGAAGGTTCCTCCTTTATGGATAGATGCCTCTTGAGATGCAAATAAATAAAGATTTGCCAAGAGTTCTTTTCTGAAGCACAATATAACATTTAACTGGCTTTCATTCTTGAACATCAACTTCTACCACATGTGCATATGCACATGTATTTTTGCAAAGTGGTACTGATAGTGCACACATTTCATAGTTTGCCTCTCTATCCTTTTCCACCTGGCATTATATCAGAAGAATTGTGAAACTAGACAAAGAGATTCTCTCCCAAACTCCACTTGGTAATCAGGAGAAGCTGTGGGCCTTCCCTTGCTTTCTGTCTCCTAACCACTGAGGAAAGTAACAATTCAGGTCGTCAAAGACCAGGACAGATCAGCCTGAGTGTCAGTTCTGGGGCACTTACCCTGACACCGTGAGCTTCACCTTGATCTGGTAAGACACCAGGATCCCTAGCACAGTCCGGTCTATGCCCTCCTTAATGCTGCCAAAACAGAAAGGAAAATGAGAAGGATGCAGGAGAGCAGTAGAAAGCGAAGATAAATAAATAACCATTCCATCCCCACCCAGACACATGGTCATGGAACACATTCTCCAGGAACTGGTGACCTCAACCAAGCTGCTGAAGTCCTAGAAGTCTACATACTTGGGGAGGGTCAGGCAGGAATTCTTCCCCACCCCTTCCAGGCCTTGGAGGAATTCTTGTGTCTTCCCCTCTAGAAGTTCACAGATGGCAGAGCATGCTTCCCCTTCTCTGTACTTGACTTTCACAGACGCTTGACTACCAGGTCATCCAGCCAGAAACCATCTTCCTCAGCTCCTCCCTCCCCTGCTTGCCAAAACTGCATCCTTGGAGTCACTGAGTCCTCCTGTGGACTTTGCCTGACTGGATTATCTCAACAACTCAACTCCTACATGCCCGGCCCCTCATCTGAGCTCTCCAGCTACTGTGCAGTTTCTGGCCTCAGCAGGTGGCTTGTGCCTGACTTTACCACCTCATACCCAGCTGTGCCCCAGTGCCCCCCATTCAGCTTTGCCAAACATAGTGCTGCCCCAAAATGCCCTCCTCCTTCCCTCCTGCCCACCAAGACCTCAAGTTGAGGTATCTTCCCTGCTACTTAGTGAAGCCTTTACGGACACCTGCCAGGCAGCACTGGGTCTCCCTCCTCTGTGCTCCACTCCTGGAAAAGGGCGCACGATCCTCCACTGTAGCCCTCATCCCAGGGAATCATAATTGTTCCTGACTGTACCCGACAGTTCCATATCCCCGGTACCCATGTTGTGCCTGGCACCAAGTGAGAACTCAGTAAATGTTTAAAAAATGAATCAGATATGCCCCAAAGAGAGTGTATTGTGATTTTCCTCATCAGAAACTTCATTTCAGATTCCACTAATATGTACTGACTTCCTACAAACTGACAGGCACCATGCTGGGCATTTCACCACTGATGATTACTGTGTCTGATCCAATGTCGGGGACATAAGTATTCCAGAATATCCAATAAGAGGAATTAGAGAAAGTATCATAAAGTACTAGCTAAAATAATGTGAATAATGATAGAAAACATGCCAAGAAACCTGGAGGCTGCAGGCAGAAGGCATGGAAGGCTGTGACTGCTCTGGGAAGGGAGCTGGGGTGGTGGCCAGGAAGGTACTGGACCCAGAGGAAGACATCAGTCCAGGGAGCCTCTGATGGGAGGCACCTTGGACACGTGCTTCCATGACCACAATGCTCCCCAAAACACTCTCCCAGCTCAATGGTGGCCAGAGCTCCTTTGAAAGAGGACAAAACATCTTTATCTGGATTCATGGAATGTGACCAAGCACTTGGTGAAGATAGGTTGCCGCTAAAGGGGCAAAAAGGAATGCAAGCTTGAAATCTCCCCTTGCTGGGATTGACTCTTTACCTTGCACTGAATGGAGCTGAGCCACTGGAGAACGGAACATGCTTTGTCACATGTCTGAAGACACCCTACAAGCCTTTTCCCCACAGTCTTCTTCGAAGGGATTGTTGGTGAGGAGTGGGCTTTGCTGTTCCATTAACCAACCAGGTGACCTTGGACAAGTCTCTCATTCTGGCTCTACTTCGGTTTCCTTACTTGTAAAATGAGTATAAATATACTTTCCTCACAAAAGTGTGGAGAGACATACTTGCTTATAAACTACTCCACAAACCATGAACCATTCCACAATGTGGTGCGCTGTTGTTGGTATCACAATTCCTATGGCCTTGAATACACTGATCTGGCCTATCAGTGTCCCTGCCATTCTCTTCCCCAGAGCTTCACAAATGTGCTTTGGAATCTAACACAACGTCTTGGAAAATTATCCTCAGAAAGCCCTTTGACTCCTACCCGCTTTCTGCCAAATGTTTGCTGTCTCCACTCTTGGTTTTGGAGGATGTAAGCTACTGAGCGTTGGGGGTCTCAGGGGTCAAACACGCCAGTCTCTTGCCCATTGGCATCACCTCAGAGGTTCTCCATTGGGGCCATGAAGGGAGACCCCATCACAATACATAGGGAGGTGGCAGCAAGTGGGCCTTGAGTCTGGGTCTCGGCTCTTACCCTAAACACTCAGGATTCACCAACAGACATGCTCCTGGGAACTGAAGCCTGAGAGAACAGCTAGGAAGGGCAGCAGACACTGACACTGGAGCATCACAGAACAGCCTTTGCTAGATCTGCTGCCCAAATTTGGCTGGGGGTCCTCTGAGTGAGGGACAGCTGATCATTGCTAAATTTCACTTAAATTTAATAGATATCGGCAGGCATTAGAACCTCCTGTTCTTCACCTTTCCTGGTGGATGTGAATGAACAATGGATGAATGTAGCTAACTGCATTACTCAGTTCATATGCTTAGGCACCATACTAGCTAGTGATGCTTTGGAAAAGCCATAGCTGACATTTCTGGAGCACTTACCGAGTGTCAGGCACCACACTTTACATAGGTTGTTCCACTGGATCCTCATAACCCTCTATGAGACTGGAACTATTATCACCTTCACTTTGGACAGGAAAACTGAGCGTCTCAAAGAGTTCAAGTTATTTACTCAGGGTCACCCAGAGGGTAAACGGTGGAGCGGTCTCCAAAACCCACAGGTGTAACAACCACATCCTACCAGGTATGGGAGTGGGGTCCTTGTCTGGGCCCCTAAGTCTGTGCCTGCACTGCAAATGCCTGGCCATCGTGCTGCACATGCACACCTGTGAGACCAGCGGGGCGACGAGAAGGGGAGCAGACCAACGCCAGCCCCACAATGCCAGGGTTCCCCATGGGGTCTCAGGACTCATTTCCAGAGCCTCGAGGACTCACATGGTGGTGGAGGCAAGGTTCGTGTCCTCATGCTTGATTTTCCCATCCAGTGCAATGCCTCTCCTTTCTCGATTGTTAGCCAGCAAAGGTATCAGTGTCAGTGTCTTGGTCAAAGAGCTGTTTGGTAGAATTTTTTCTCTGGAGGAAGAAACATAGAGAGAAGATATATAATCATAACCATTAACCCCACGAGATCCTGTTTGCCATTAAGCCTTTCCCAGGATCAAAGCTCCCTCATCAACCTCCTAGGAAAGTCAGTTCAGGTGCCTGTGAATTTGCCTTACAAGAGGCAGAACAGTGTTAACAAAATCTCAGAGTGGGCTGGTAGCAACAGCAGGACATTTCCTCAAGCATCTCAGCCTGCTCTGAATTGCTGAATTTCTAAAATGTTCTATAGTTCAATGCAGCCAACTGACCCAAGAGTCAGAGACCACAGCCAGACTGCAGAGCCTTCTAGTTAACGTCAGCAACAAGTCCAGGCTAGAAAGGCTCTTGTCACCAAAAACTGTCACTATAATGAGGATAAGAGTGTGACCATGTGGTAAGTTATTGAGAGGGGTTCCATTTGTGAACCACACAGACCCACTGGCTTGGGTTCAGAGCAACACACACACTTTCCTGCTGGATCTTCTTGATCATCAGACAGCCTGTGGGCTTCCCACACATCTGAAAGGTGGCAGGAACCCTGTGCCAAAGGGTGAGTCTGGGATAGAGCTGGGGACACAGCTGTATGTGTTTCTCCAGGGTCTGACAGCATTGCCAGGATCACAAAGCAGCCTCTGAGGCTGCAGAGTTGGCTCTGCCCCACACGTGTGTACTGTGTGCCAGGACTGGTCTAAGGCCTGTCCTCTACCAACTCCTCACTGAGCAGGTGTTCTCAGAACCTCATTTGGCAGATGGGAAGTGTGCCCATAGTCACATGACTGCACACTCTAACCGCAGAGCCCAGGCGTGCCAGCAGCCACCCTCCATCCTCTACCCCACCAGAAAGCAGGGTGTGACCTGAAAACCCTACCCAGGAGCCAGCATCAGGACGGTTTCCTGAACCAGTTCTCAGACAGCTGGAAGTCTGAACTGCTTGTCTCAGGAAGGACTTCCCTATCTGATTTCCCCGGAGAGCTATGGCTGTGGCCTATCCTGCCTCCAGTATATACAGGAAGCTCTTTAAGAATTTTGCTAGGCTGGGCATGGTGGTTCAAGCCTGTAATCCCAGCACTTTGGGAAGCCAAGGCAAGAGGATTGCCTGAGCTCAAGGGTTCGAAACCAGGCTGGGCAATTTGGTAAGACCTCTCTCTACAATAAATCAAAAAATAAGCTGGCCATGGTAGCGCACCCCTGTAGTTCCCATTACCGCCTGTAGTTGCAGCTACTTGGAAGGCTGAGGCGGAAGGATCGCCGGAGCCCAGCAGGTAGATGCTGGGTGGCTGTGAGCATGTCACGGCACTCCAGTCTGGGCAATAGAGTAAGACTCCGACTCAAAAAATAAATAAAAATAATTTTAAGTAAAGAGAAATTTGCTTAAGCCCAAGGTGACCCACATCCTTCCATCTGGGTCCTGGTGGAACCTCTCTTAAAGAGTGTCATTTGGGCAGCAACATTCACAGAAGCAGAAATTGCATTATAAAGGAGACTGGAATAGGAGACTGGGAGTTGAACTCAGATAATGACATTTCCTGCAGCAGAGCTTGCCAAAGGACTGTTTGGGACCACTTTCTAGCTCCTTCAGAATCTCGGACTGGATGGTGGGTAGCAGTTAGGAAGTCAGGTTCCGAGGAGGCCTGCCCACCAGAGCCCTAGGAGCCACAGGGTTCTGGGACAGTGGCTCCTACTCTGCAGCCTTCTGAGTGGCCTCTAGCCTAGACTTGCTTGTATGATCTGGCCCAGCTTTCAGGCTCCTCTCACCTTTGGGGAACCTTGGAATGCTTTCCAGTTTCCTGGAAATCAATTGGCCAAAGTGCACCCAAGACTTTAAAAGAGCACCAGAAAATGGGATATATATTAGGGGAAAACTCAGCCAGGACCCTTTGCTCCCATCTTGCTGAGTATATGCTGAAAGGAGAGCCGGGGCCAAGACCCCAGAACACAAGGATGCACAAGGATGACCTTGAAAAGTAGAACAGAGCCCAGGGTGGCAGAAAAGAGAAAATGAGTGGCAGTTCTTTCCTGCTTCCCTCTCTTGTAGAATTATATTTCAACTTAAGACTAATTCTGGTTTGAGTAATAGTTTATCCTAAAGTGGCCTTTTAAATACTACGTTATATGGTCAGGCGAGGTGGCTCATGCCTATAATTCCAGCACTTTGGGAGGCCAAGGTGAGAGGATTTCCTGAGCCCACGGGTTTGAGACCAGTCTGGGCAAATAGGCGAGACCTCGTCTCTATAATAAATTTAAAAATTAGCCGGGCGTGATGCCGCGTGCCTGTAGTTTCAGCTCCTTAGAAGGCTAAGGTGGAAGGATCACCTGAGCCCAGCGATTGAGGCTGGGATGGCCGTGAGTGTGCCACTGCACTCCAGCCTGGTGACAGAGTGAGACTCCAACACACAAAAAAATACTATGTTATCTTAATGATTCAGTTTTTCTTTCCTCACCACCTCCCCAAAACCCTAACCTTCCTCTAACCCTGGTAATATTTTTTACATATGGTGCTTAGAATTTCACCAGCTAGGAGAGGAAAGACCAGTCCAAGCTGGCCTCTCAAGTGGGTGGGGGGCAATACCTCCCCTCCAAGCCTGTGTATTAAGTGGATCTATCTGACTTCCTGGCACAAAGCAAAACTGGGCAGGTGTCTCATGCCAGCATGGAGGAGGCATTGCAGGATTCTATTTGGTTTTGACCCTAATAAAGGGAGAAAAGTCATTCCCAACAACGGGCTAAGAATGGAAACATCATTTTAATCTAGCTGTCACGGGGTATAAGATTTTCAAATTGAGAGGAAGATTAAAAGATAAGGACTACTAGCCTGGGGTGACAGCTCATTTGACTATCTGCTGGGGGAAAGGAATAGTATCGAATTCCTAAAGACTCATTCCAATGATAAATAGAAAGACCCAGCTGTTCCCAGGGTGACATTTCCATCTTTATTTCTCCCTCTGTCATTCTTTAGCTTGGACTGATCCTCAGAACTCCTGTGAGATGGGCGGCAAAGGGATACAGCAGATGTTAAGTTAGCTAAGATGCTAACTGTCTGTGCAGCCCTTGAAAGCAGAAAAGGGGAAGGAAGTGGAAAGCTGGTGGGCTAGCTGAACATTCTAGTTCCCTCTTCAGTGATGAACAAAGAGGAACTTGACAAAGAAGCCTGGGCCGCCCAGGAAATGGAAACCCAACCACTACTTACTGTGCTTCCTCCATGGCCACAGGCTTGACGTAATAATCACTTGAGTAGAGAACCACGTTGGCCACCTGCTCCACTGCAAAGGGAAGACAGGAGTTGGGTGGTCAGCCCCAGATCCCTCCACACAGGTGCGGTCTCAAGGCTGCGGTTTCTAAGTTCCATCTCCAGGCCATTTCTGGTCACCCGTAACCTGCTCTGGGTTACTCCACCCTAAGACTGCAGCACCTGGGAGACCCCTTTCTCTCCTCTGAGCCCATGATATATCGCTAGGTGTCCTTCAAAGGCACACTATCTGCCAGCATCTCAGAACCTCACCATTTGCTCTCTTTTCCCAAGCCTAGTCCCCTTCCAACATCCTCTATCTTATTCAGCAAGCATTGTCCTTCCCCTCCTCTGAGAGACAATCTAGAGGCAGCAAGGGACTGATTTATGGGTGGAACGTGGTAGGTACGAAGGTCAGCCTGGAGCCAAGCTTTTTGGGCTCAAAGCTCTGCTTAGCCATTAACTGTGGGGTGACTTATTCAGCTATTCTAAGCCTCAGTTACCCCATCAGTAAAATCAGGGTGATGGTTGTGTTTAACTCATAGGAATGTTGTGAGGATTAAAAAGATGACTTTTAATCCCCTTTCAAATCAAGTTTGGGGATTAAAAGAAATAATGTATGTGAAGCCTTCAGCACAGTGCCCAGTCCTTAGAAAGCTATTAACATTTTGTTTTAGAAAATTCAACAACTGACTGGGTGTGGTAGCTCACACCTGTAACTTTGGGAGGCAGAAGCGAGAAGATTGCCTGAGCCCAAGCGTTTGAGACCAGTCTGATCAACTTGGCAAGACCTTGTCTCTACAACAAATCAAAAAATTATCTGGGCATGGTGGTGCATTCCTGTACTTCCAGCTACTTGGGAGGCTGAGGCAGAAGGTCGAGGTTGTGGTGGGTGTGAGTGTGCCACTGCCCTCCAGCCTGGACGACAGAGTAAGACTATGACTAAAAAAAAAAGAAAAAGAAAAAGAAATTTCAACAGCATCTTTCAAGGTTAGTGGTTAGAAAGCTTTGCTGTTGGAATTCATAAAACTTTCAGAAATAGGCTGGGCGCGGTGGCTCATGCCTATAATCCCAGCACTTTGGGAGGCCGAGGTGTTCAAGCCCATGGGTTCAAGACCAGCCTGGGCAACTTGGCGAGACTTCATCTCTACAATAAATCAAAAAATTAGCTGAGCATGGTGGCGCATGCCTGTAGTTCCAACTACTTGGAAGGCTGAAGCAGAAGGGATCGCCTGAGCCCAGCAGGTCGAGGCTGAGGTGGCCAGGAGTATACCACTACCCTACAGCCTAGGTGACAGAGTGAGACTTCAACTCAAAAAAAATAGAAAAAAAAATAAAAATAAACTTTCAGAAATAATTTAAAATCAAAATATCAAATGATATTTTATGAATTCCATTAGTATGATTTTAACATTTGTGTTCCCTCAAAATTTGATGTTGAAATCTTAACCCAAGGATGATGATATTAAGAGTTGGGGACATTCAGAGGTAATTAGGTTATGGTAGCAGGGTGTTCATGAGTAGGATTAGTGCCCTTATAAAAGAGGTCCTACTTGCTCCTTCTGCCACATGAAGACACAGCAGGAAGTCACCATGAATGAGAAAAGAGCTCTCCCAGACATGGAATCTGCCAATGCCTTGATCTCAGACCTCCCTGTCTCCAGAACTATAAGAAATAAATATTTGTTGTTTAAAAACCAGATTATGATATTTTTGTGACAGCCACCTGAATGGACAAAGACACAGGTGACTTTGTGGAGCACTGCATTGGATACTACATATAACAGGCTAAATAAGTAACTCCAGGTCCTACAAAGACCTAAAGCCCTAAATGTACTAAACTAACATAAAACAAAATTGTAAATTAAAATTCATATTAGTGACAAGAAAAGTCTAGAATTCTTTAGTATGCATGCTTCAAAATTCCTGAACATCATATATAAAGGACTCACAGGCAAAGAGGAAAGTGGTGTATTAAACATAGGGAGACTAACCATGCTGATTTCCCTGGGACAAGCCTATTTTAGCACTGAAACTTCTAAGTTCTTTAGTCCTCAGCAACCTTGGAGAGTTGGTAACCCTGAGGTCTAACTTTGTCTTAGTCATACAATGTTTGAGTGAAAAGTTTAACTTAGCTGGGCGTGGTGGCTTATGTCTGTAATCCCAGCACTTTGGGAGGCAAAGGCGAGAGGATTGCCTGAGCCCAAGGGTTCGAGACCAGCCTGGATAACTTGGTGAGATCTCATCTCTACCATACATCAAAAAAATTAGCCAGGCATGGTGGCTCGCGCCTGTAGTTCCAGCTACTTAAAAGGCTGAGGTGGAAGGATCACCTGAGCCAGGCAGGTTGAGTGTCATACAGCCTGGGTGACAGAGTGAGACTCTGAGTCAAATAAAAATAAAAAATTGAACTCAGAGGTTTCTTCCCAGGTTATTCCATCGTGTCTTTTTATGAGGCACACATAAAGCAGTTCATATAAGACCTGCTGCACATTGATGCCCTTTGAGCTGAGGAAATGTGTAGGAACAGCAAGCAGAAGCACCTCCCTGCAATATATGGTGAGGGTCACCATTAGATAATGGACATTCAAGATAAGACAGTTGTGTCTCACTATTTACAGAGCACTTCTACATGGGATCTCGCCTTAGAGCCTCGCAAAGCAGGGGAAGGTAGACAGGGAGCCACCACTGTAGAAGGCAGTTGGGATTCAGAGAGGACTTAGGCAGCACCAGCCCACAAATTGAGCCAAGTGTCTTCAAACGAGTGTCCTTCTCACTGCCCTGTACTTGTCAACAAAGATGGCCACTGATCAGAGAAGGGAAACTCCTCCCACAGGTTCCCATGAGCTCTGGCCCAGCAGGGTCCTCCTGGAAGGCATGATCATGGAAATCTTTTCCAGGATTTTGTCCCAAGACAAAAGCCAGCCCCAAACGGGCAGGAGTCTGAATGAGATGACTAGGAGGTCTTTTTCCCCTATAGTCCTGCCGCCTATGCAGCAGAGACAGACAGTTTCAACCACTTGGAAGAGCCTTATTGGACCAGAGAAGCAACTCTCAGGAAACAGAATCAGACTGAGAAATTCTAGAAGACTCTGCTCTCTACTTTTGAGAAGAAGGTCCTACCAAATACTTTAATCTTCTTCACTGTTTTCTCCGTGTTATTGGTAACAGTCACGGTCACAGGGATTGGCTCTCCATGGAAATATAGCTGAAAAAGTTAACAGATAGTTCAGAAGAGAAGAACAGTGTGGTAATATCTTGAATCTCAGGGTTTTCTAGATTCATCTCAACCCATTTAACTAAATAAAAGTGGCTGGATTCCATTACTTTCAAGGAAAATAAAGTGATAGCAATACATTTCCTCTAGAGAAGGGTCTGAAACATGCCCTGCCCAGTCTGTGGGAGGCTGGGGAGGATAATGGAGTTCTAAGCATCGTGTCAGAGGAAGCCAGAGGGATCTGGAGTGGAGTCATGAGTTAACTGGGGGCAGGATGAGTGAACTGAAAGGAAACTGCTGGGAAAGCCAAGTAATGGCATCCTGCCCAGCAAGATCCTCGTGTAATCTAGTCCCTGGTGAGTGTGTCCTTGCACATGTGCATGGCCACACGCATACACACACAGAGTGCACACATAACTGTTGGTGACCAGAGGGACCAGAGACAACCTCAGCCCCAGTTCTTTACCTTTTCCCACCATGACACCCATAACAGATGACATTGTACGTGGCATTATCAGCCCACATGGTTTCTGTAAAACTGAAATTTCCTGAGAAGTGAACAATTTGGGATACCAGAGCTATCAATGCTCCATTAGTGACCAAGGCCCATAGAGGCAGAAAGAAAGGGTGGGGGTGCAGAGGGGTATGTGAAAAACATCATCCCTTCCCTCCCCAGTCTGAACAGCTAGTGGGTGGAATGCTAGTCACTTTGACCCCAGTTTAAGGATCATGGTGACTAGCTCCAAACTGTGAAAACAGCCAGTCATTTATACACATCAGTGCTTTAACTATGATCACTTGCAACTGGCTGGGTTTGGTGGCTCACACCTGTAATCTCAACGCTTTGGGAGGCAAGAAGATTGCTTAAACTCGGGAATTTGAGAACAGTCTGGGCAACATAGCGAGATCCCATCTCTATTAAAAATAATAAGTAATAAAATAAAAAAATATCAATTGCAAGGCACCCAAAGTTAGGGACTGAGGCCAGTGAAGAGAGAGGTTGCCTGCTCCCCTATAGGGTGTAGCCATTGTGGGTCGGTTACCTCTTTGCTGAGGGAGACTGCAAGGTGCAGGGGCTTGTTAGACATGAAGAACTGCCAGGCTGCCTCAGCTTGGGGCTGGGGACCTGTCTCCGGTGGAGCATGTTGTACTTTCCGGATCAGTAAACGCACAGAGCTCCTGCAGAGAAGAGTCAGAGACAGTCCCAGCATCAGCACCAGGGCCACTTCAGGTAGCCCCCTGGTCTCTCCCCACAGTCTGGGATTCTTCGACAATACTCCCAATGGAGACAGGATGGATGGGAAGACAGACAGGACTTTAGTCAGAGCCTGAGGGAGAGGAGAACCTGGAAGATCTGGTTTCTGGTCCCTTCTCTTATTCGACTGTCTGGGTAGCATGGGGCCGGACCATGTTCCTGAAGGCCACATTTAGCCTGTCAGGCTCTGGGTTCTGCCTCCTCTCAGGTGAGGCTGATGTGAGTGTGTCATGTGTCTTATGTGAACAGGCCCCAGAGCTTTCTATAATGGAGCACTATTACTACTATATATTATCCTAAACTTTGAAAGATGCGTGTGGTAAAGAAGAAAATGTGAAGGGCAGGGCACAGTTGGAAATCTCCTTTAGGTATAAAAAGAAACCTAGCTGGGTGTGGCAGCTCGAGCCTATAATGCCTAGCACTTTGAGAGGCAGAGGCAAGAGGATTGCCTGAGTCCAGGAGTTTGAGACCAGCCTGGGCAACTTGGTGAGACCTCATCTCTACAAAAATCAAACAATTAGGCCAAATGCGGTGGCTCAAGCCTATAATCCCAGCACTTTGGGAGGCCAAGGTGAGAGGATTGCCTGAGCTCACAGGTTTGAGACCTGCCTGGGCAACGTGGTGAGACCTCGTCTCCACAATAAATCAAAAAATTAGCTGGGTGTGGTAGCGCGTGCCTATAGTTCCAGCTACTTGGAAGGCTGAGGTGGAAGGATTGCCTGAGCCCAGCAGGTCAAGGCTGTGTTGGCCAGGAGCATGCCACTGCACTCCAGCCTGGATGACAGAGTGAAACTCCAATTCAAAACAAAACAAAACAAAACAAAAAATTAGCCGGGTGTGGTGGTTCACACCTGTGGTTCCAGTTACTTGGAATGCTGAGGCAGAAAGATCACCTGAGACCAGCAGGTCGAGGCTGTGGTGGCTGAGAGCATGCTATAGTACTCCTGCCCAGGCGATAGGGTGAGATTCCAACTCAAAAAAAAAGACAAGAAACCTAAATGTGGGGGCAGGTAGGATGGGGGTAATGCTTAATGGTTACTGGGTACCTACTCCAGGTGGTGAAAAGGTTTTGGGTGGCTTCACAACATTATGAGTGGACTTAATGCCACTGAATTATAAAACTAAAAGTGGTTAAAATGGTAAACTTCATGTTTTGTTTATTTTACCACAATTTTGAAAAATTAAAAGGAAAAAACTAAAGAAAGAGGAAATCTGGGAGCTTTTAGAGGCTTATGTGAGCCTTTGAGGTTGTTAGCTCCCCTGTCATTCTCTTGGCTTTTTTCCTCCAAATGATCAACCTTTGACACCCACCCCCATGTAGATGGTAGATGGTTAAGTCCCTATGGCCTCACCTGGGGAGGCTTCATCACATCAACCATGCCTTCTCTGTGGGGAGAGCTCTGTCACACAAAGTAGGGGCCATTTCTGATCTCCACCATCACACCCCAAACCCCCACCTATTACCACTACACTCTTACTTCCTGGGGATTTTGTCCTCTTCAGTACCAGCGCTGTCTGTGCTAAATGCTTTGACCTCAAAGTCGACCCCACAGGCCTGTTGAGGACAGAAAGCAGACAAGCAGAGGTTAGTACCTCCCTTCCTGGGTACGGGGACAAAGGTCACACCTCATATGGGGCATGTGACATGTCACCACCTCTTTTTGTCTTAGCCATATCCTATTGATGGTTGTATCATGAAGACTAGACTTAGAAATGACATGGTGAAAGGAGTGTGCCAGGCCCAAAGCCCCCAGAGGAAAGGGGATCCACCTGCTCAATATGGCCCCTCAGCCACTGTGGAGAGTCACTTACATCCTGCTGTCTTCACTTCCCACCACCTCACACGCTTAGGTGTCCTCACATGGGACCCTGCGCACATGTTACTGACTTCCTACTGCCTACAGCAGGGCCGGAGGCATAGGTGCTCATAGAGCCGGTATGGTGCGGGGAGGGGTGGTGGTCCATGAAGGCCCTGCCATGTTCATGTAACTACAGTGAGACTCCAACTTAAAATAATAAAATTAAGCCGGGCTCGGTGGCTCAGCCTGTAATCCCGCGCCTTTGGGAGGCTGAGGTGAGTGGATTGCCTGAGCCCACGGGTTCAAGATCCACCTGGGCAGCGAGACATCATCTCTACAATAAATAAAAAAATCAGCCGGGCATGGTAGCACATGCCTGTAATTCCGGCTACTTGGAAGGCTGAGGTGGAAGGATTGCCAGAGCCTAGCAGGTCGAGGCTGCGGTGGCCGGGAGTGGCCACTGTACTCCAGTCTGGGCAACTGAGTGAGACTCCAACTCAAAAATAAATAAATAAATAATAATAATAATAACATTAAATTAGGATAATAGTAATAATAAAAATAAGGTAGGCATGGTGGTGTATGCCTGTAATTCCAGCTACTCAGGAGACTAAGGCAGGAGGATCACTTGAGCCCAGGAGTTGAAGGCTGCAGTGAGCTCTGATTGTGCTACTATACTCCTTTGTGGGCAACAGAGGGAAGGAAGGAAGGAAGGAAGGAAGGAAGGAAGGAAGGAAGGAAGGAAGGAAGGAAGGAGACATGAAACTTTGGGTGATCTGATTTTTAAACTAACTAAATAAAAAGCACTTTTAAACATTGCATGGGTTGAACGAGCACATCTGCCCTCAACCCCAGCATGTGAATTCCTTGACCTTCTGTACAAGCCCTCCATAACTTCTTTCATCTCTGCACATTTACACGCATGGGGGAGCCCAGAGGTAGGCACAGATCTGTCCTCCGCTGACTGCCTGGGGGGAAAGTGGAGTTGGCAAAAGCACAAGGACCCAGTTGTGTCCATAGTGACATATAAGCCATAGATTTGTTGGTCCTGCAAATGTGGAATCACAGCAATTCTAAACTCTAGGTTGACAATAAATATGCACCGGGCACAGTGGCTTACATCTATAATTCCAGCATTTTGGGAGGCAGAGGCGAGAGGATTGCCTGAGCCCAGGGATTCAAGACCAGCCTGGGCAACTTGGCGAGATCTCGTTTCTACAACAAATCAAAAACTTAGCCGGGTGTTGTGGCGTGTGCCTGTAGTTCCAGCTACTCGGAAGGCTAAGGAAGAAGGATGAGCCAGCAGATTGAGGCTGCAGTGGCCATGAGACTCTGATTCAAAAAAAAAAGAAAAAAAAATATGCATTCTCATCCACATCAGCCGGGCATTATTCAGTCATGCCAGCCCCTGCTGTGCTCACCCACTGCTCTCATCCCCTTAATGCTGCTCCTGCACAAGTCATCCTCTTTCACAAGTCTGTCCTTAATGCTGCTCCTGCACAAGTCATCCTCTTTCACAAGTCTGTCCTGGGTATACATGTTTCTTCTTCCTGAAATGCTTGTCTTTCTCTCTCTTATCTATGTACAAATTTGATAAACTCCTGTGTATCCTGCAAGCCCCAGTTCAAAGTGCTCCTCAGTCAGAGAGCCTCAAGTTCCCCCAGGCATTCAGATACTCCTCCAGGGTTCCCTAGGCTCAGGACACATCCCCTATCCTGAAGCCCTCCTGTAAAGCTGAGACCCTTTCTTCTCCTAGAACAGAGGAAGCAAGTGGCACCATGTTCGGCCTGCATAGTGTTGTGAAAATCAAGAAAGGTCACCTAAAAATCTGAATTTCAGATTTCAGGCATTTCTTTTTCTTTTTTTTTTTTTTTGAGTCGGAGTCTCACTCTGTTGCCCAGGCTGGAGTGCAGTGGCACGCTCACAGCCACCACAGCCTCAACCTGCTGGGCTCAGGTGACCCTTCCGCTTCAGCCTTTCAAGTAGCTGGAACTACAGGCGTGTACCATCACATCTAGCTAATTTTTCTTTCTTTCTTTTTCTTCTTTTTTTTTTGGAAAGCAGGATTTATCGAAAGGATAGAAAAGCTCCCAGAGCAGGAGGAGACCCGAGGGGGTTGCCATTTTGTTGTTGTTGTTGTTGTTTTTTGAGTTGGAGTCTCACTCTGTGGCCCAGACTGGAGCTGCAGTGGCCTGCTTGGCTCAGGCAATCCTTCCACCTCAGCCTTTCAAGTAGCTGGAACTACAGGTACGTGCCACCATGTCCGGCTAATTTTTTAATTTATTGTAGAGATGAGTTCTCACCAAGTTGCCCAGGCTGGTTTTGAACCTGTGTGCTCAGGCAATCCTCTCACCTCAACCTCCCAAATTGCTGGGATTAGAGGGGTGAGTCACCACACCTGGCCTAATTTTTAAATTTATAGTAGAGATGAGGTCATGCCATGTTGCCCAGGCTGGTTTTGAACTCTGGGCTCAGGCAATCCTTTTGCCTTCACCTACCAAAGTTCTGGGATTACAGACATGAGCCACCATAGCCATCACCTACACTGATTTCACAAACCACTAATGGGCTAGGAACCCTGTACTAAAAAACCAAAAAACAACAACAACAAAACCACTGCCCTAGCCCTTGTCATTATCTATCACTGCCCCCTCAATAATCCTGCCACTCTCTGCTGTCATGTTCTGTCTTTTTAGCTCCCTCCCTCATGACTCTTAGGGCCTGTAAGCCATGGGTCCTGGTACCTCTCATTCTCTCCTCCTGTACTCTCTGCCCTCCTTCCATGCCTAGAGTCCCTGGTCCATTTGGTGCCTCCTCTCTCATGCCCTCAGCCCCTCTATAGTACATGCTTGACCAACTCCAACCCAGTTCTCAACTCTGGTCATAGTGATCCTTAGGAAACCTAAGTTAGAACCTGTCATTCAGAGCCGGCCAACGGCTCCTGTCTCACTCAGGCAAAAACCCAAGTTTCTACAATGCTATGAGGCCTTTCACGATCTGGCTGCACCTCGCATTTCACCCTGACCTCAGCTGTCCCCCTTCCTCCCTTGTTCCTCTCATTCAGCAGGTGGCACGATCTCCCAGAACCCACCACATGAGGTGTTCCCTCTGCCTAGAAGACTCTCCACTGGAAAATTGGGTTTTCTCCTTCACCTCTAAAAGGAGGCCTTTAAACATCCTGAACACACATCCCACCAGCTACTCCCTTTGCCTCTCACAAGTCTTTTGTTCTCCTAGCACTTGTGCCATCTGATGAACTTGTGCCATCTCCTAGCACTTGTGCATCTGTGTCATCTGTAGTCACTTGGCATTTGTTTCATGCCTGTTGCTCTCCATTAGCATGTGAGACCCAAGGGGATCTAGTCTCTGTTATTTTGTTCACACAGATGTTCATGGCTAATAATTGCTGTAGACGAATGATAGGTTCACGAGGGTCTTTACATTGGTCTCTCTACTTCTGCGTATTTTTGAAATTTTCATGATAAAAAGCTTTTTTTGTTTTTAGTTGGAGTCTCACTCCGTCACCCAGGCCACAGTGCAGTGGTACACTCTTGGTCACCCCAGCATCCATCTGCTGGGCTCCAGTGATCCTTCCACCTCAGCCTTCCAAGAAGCCAGAACCACAGGCACACGCTTCCACATCTGGCTAATTTTTTATTTATTGTAGAGACAAGGTCTTGCCAAGTTGTCTGGGCTGGTCTTGAACCCACGGGCTCAGGCAATCCACTTGCCTCGGCCTCCCAAAGTGCTGGGATTACAGGCTGAGCCACCGAGCCCAGCCTTTTTTTTATTTTTGTGATGGAGTCTCACTCTGTTGCCCAGGCTGGAGTGCAGTGGCATGCCACTGCAGACTCAACCTGCTGGGCTCAGGCGATCCTTCCACCTCAGTCTTCCAAGTAGCTGGAACTACAGGCATACGCCACAACACCTGGCTAATTTTTTGATTTATTGTAGGGATGAAGTCTTGCCATGTTGTCCAGGCTGGTCTCACAATCCTCTCGCCTCCAGCTCCCAAAGTGCTTGGCTGATAAAAAGCTATTTTTATTTACTTATTTATTTTTGAGTGGGAGTCTCACTCTGTCACCCAGGCTAGAGAGCAGTGGCATGCTCCCAGCCACTGCAGCCTCAACCTGCTGGGCTCAGGCGATCCTTCTGCCTCAGCCTTC